GTCACACCAACATTAGGACCTAGGGCAATGAATTGTGGGTGAATTTTGTTCTAATAAATTCTACAAAAAGTCTGCTGACTGAACTTATTGCAGCAAGCGGAGAAAGTGCAAAAGGACAGACGAGCTGACTTTGTTTTAGATTAAATTAGATTAAAGGAAGAACAAAATAAATCAGTACTTTGCTTCAACTACATCATGGCTCATCATGAACTGAGGAAACCCGATTAATTTATTTTTCGAGCGCAGCAAGGCCTCCGATCTGAACCGAAGGTCAGGGGATCCTTAACCTAATATCCTCGGTAATACACTCACCCACCTAATGAAGTGCTTATACCTGGATTCGACAAAGACCCCCTTGCCGTGTGCCCTGCACAACTCTATGAGAACAGAAGTCTCTCGACTGCCTGTGTTTTCCAGAAAAAAAGGGATAATTAAAAAGGGATAATCAGCTGTTCATCCATCCATTGTTAATACATTCGGATCTATATTTTTAAAGATTGTTCATTTGTACATTGGGATCTATATGTTTAAAGATTGTATTTTTCAGTTTTATCATTTCTGTCCTATATTTTTATTTCTATATTTTATGTCTTGCTTCTCATAGAAGAGTTGTGTTGTGCACCAAACACCAAAGCAAATTCCCTGTAAGTCTAAAATTCTTATCCTAGTAGGGTTGAGGGTAGGGTGGTTTATCCCAGCTGGCATTGAGTGAGAGAATTTTTACTCCCTGGACATGTAGCCAGTGTAAAAGAAGAAGTAAATGAAACACACACACACACGCATATTCACTCCTAAAGTCAATTCAGAGTCTCCATTTAACCTATAATGAATATTTTTGGACTGTGTGAGGAAGTTAGAGTACCTGGTGAGAACCCATACATACACGAGGATCGGATTGAGATCCATGGATTAAAACCAGGATCACTTTTGCTGGCCCTTAATCAGCTGCAATAGTAATTTTTCGGAATCCAAAGGAAAGGGGTTGTAATCAAAGCTAGGATCAGAAGTGGGCCAGCACACTAGCTAATTCTACAAATGATCATTCACCCTGATTGCGAAATGAATTAAGTTTTTTTTTTTTATCTGTACACGGAGTCTATTAAAAACACCACGTCCCTCTTGAAATGGTTAGGCTCAAACATTGAAAGAAGAATTTGCATTGAAAATCAGGGCCGCGTTTTTTGGAGGCTTCAGCATGTTTCTGATTCTGTGTTATCTCCTTAGTCTCACTTGTTAAAATTGAAAGCCGCTCACAAATAACATGGCGTAGTGACAAAAAACATCATATCCAGGGGGAACTGCATTTTATCTGAAAGGAAAGTCAATGTTTTACGAGACGAGGCTTTGTGGGGGCACAGGGAACATCCTCAAAACATGTCAAATGTTCACTTTTTGCACTTACAATGTGATTAATACACGGTTCAACAACAGTTAGTATTTGAATCCCATTTACTGACAAAGTACAAAAAAAAACATTTAAACTTTGAGGCTTATGATCCTTTTGCAAGTTTTTGTGTGTGTCTTTTAACAGCCTCAGCAAGCTTAGAGTCATCTTCAAAGTCCTGCAGTGAAAATAGATTTTAGCTTATTGAAACCCTGCAACAATAGGAACCTTCCTATATTCGTTTGTTCCATTTGACTAGTATGCACCATTTATCCATTTAGTTGCACGTGTGGTATTTTATATCCCCATTGTTATTCTAATGTTGTTGCATTCTAAGTAACTTTACATAGAATAGACGATGGGTTAAAGCACCAGATGAAAGAAGACATTAAATGTGGGGATGTCAGTGAGAGGAATGAACATAATCCCAAGTTATATATCCTTCCTCAAAACTATTTCTCAACCCATCACCTCTCCTCTCTGTCACAAATCCTTTGCAGTAGAATTCTGAGTATGAGAGTCATACAAAGTCAAATTGAGGCTAAAGTCTTTATTTACCGTCAAATAGAATATTTGGTTGCCCTCAGAAGGCTAAGTAACTCCATCTCTGAATCTATGTTTGCCTAAATATATATTGTTTTAAGCATGCAATCATTTTCTTATCTTGTTTTGTCTTATCTTGTTTTTCCCTTTTGAAACCTAAGACTAAAAAAAGTTTCTCTTTTATAAAAAAAATAATACTTGTCTTTGCAGAAAATACAGACAAAATGTAAAAGAATGATAGAATCATAATAGAATTTAAAATATAAAATCACAACTAGCATTTAACATATCAGGTCACTTGAGTAATCTTTTATGTGCCTGTAAAAACAGCTAGCTGATTACCTGAGCAGATTAAATGACCATGCTTTTTCATCAATATCAAATAATACATAAGGATCATCAGGCTGGAACTCTGAAACAGCGTCCAAATATTTACATGTCTCTTTTCCTCTGAGTATCGTGAAAATAAAATAATAAACATTATATAATAATTTAGGAAGATAAGAACATAAGAATATAGAAGATAAGAATATAGGTATATTCAGAAAAAGGCATGGCAAAAAGCATGCAGAGCTTCTGACAGCTTTACACATAAAACTTTGAGATTTATTAAATTAGTTTCAAAGTAAATCTGCCCCTTAAGTATGTGACATTAACCCTTTAACATCTATATATTTAGAAAAAAGGAGGGGAAAATATGCATGTTTATCATTGTTATAGAGCAATAAAGAATCAATACTTGGGGTGACACTTTGCGGTAAAAGTGTGAAATTGAAAAAGAATAAAAATGCCATACCTCATGCTTGATTTAGTCATCACATACCTAAACTTAAATCTAGATCTGGTTCAGGTAAGTGCACTTCCTCTAGTATATCCTATGAATGAGTATAATCAGTGAAAAACGTGCTCTAAAAATGGTTGATGAGGGTGTTAAAGGGTTAAAGAAAATTCTTGGGAATGATATATGTTACCGTTCATGGTCTCAGGTAAAGTTTACAGCATTTTTTTACGCTTGAAATTCCCTGTGTCAGAAACAGATGTGCAAATAACATCCTTGATTTACGATGCAAAATTGTGATTTCTGTCGCTTTCATGATAACCTACATGAGTGAAAAACTGACAGACAGCAAAGCAGCTTTCGGATCATTTACAGATTATTAAAACTAATAGCTGCTGTGATTAAAGAGTCACAGGGATAACATTTCATCCCAAAATCCGTATCACCTTTTTGTTAGCTGTACTGCTTATAGCAAGAACAGTCATTATAAACAAAGAGCTGTATGGACCAATGAGGCTTTAAGTGCATAGCAACTAATTACTTACCATTTCCATACATTGACATATACAGAAACCTTATGACATTTGAGCCCGTCCCAATATTTTCCAACTCTTCCTGGTTTGCATTCAGACATCAAGTTTAAGCCTAATGTGCCGACTGAACATCCCTAATGTGGATTAGCTATGCATGGTGGTGTCTGCCAGGAATCCTCCACTCCCTAATGTGATATGACAAAAAGTGCTGCCAGTTTTGTTTGAGTACGTAAGCATCTCTGTTTTTTTGGGTCGCACCGACTTTAAATCAAGCTCTGGCTTTAGTTTCTATTTGAATATAAGCACTATGAGAGATTATACGAATATGTTTGATACCAGTATGACCCAAAAAAGTAAAGAATTTAGGAAAGTGGAGGTGTCAACACCATGAAATTTTAACACGTTAGACTGTGTGTGATGATATTGAATAAGTTCCAAATATTACAATCAAGCCCCCATTAGGATGAAGATTAAACGGTGTTTTTAGATAACAATAATGACACAATGAGTATTCAATTTAGCAGAAAAAATAGTCAAGGAGTGATATTTACTTTTTTTTACCGTAGAAAACTTACTAATCTATGGTGTGGGATACTAGTGAGGACTAGTATCAAACAGGGTTATACAGGGTTATAGATAATGGTTTAGATGTCACTTTTCCATAAGAAACGAGAGCTGTTTTTGATAGAGATGCCTACTGTCATTCAGTTAGTGTACTGATTCAGCAACTTCAACATTAAATGGTTATTGTTTAGGAAATGAAAAGATCGATAATGATTTTCACAGCAATTGATGCTTGTGACTGAACTTCTAACTGAACAACTGACAACTGAAAAAGCGGTATGAAACAATATCTTTACATATGTGTACGGTTAGTTCTTTTCATACGTATATTGATATTTTATCTGCAATCTTTTCAAAAGGCACATCACGATATCCATTCATCTATTTTCTGAACCGCTTATTCCCAAATGAGGTTGCAGGGGGGCTGGATCCTATCCCAGTAGTCAATGGGTGAGAGGCGGGGTACAGTTTATCTTTGTATAAATACACAGAGACAAACAACCATGCAGACTCATACTCACTCCAAATGGCAATTCGGAAAGTCAAATCAACGAAGGACAAAGCCAGATTACCCGGAGAGAACGCAGACACAACTTTATCAATTTATTCCTCCTAAATTCTCTTAAATGATTATTGTTATTGAAAATCTATTTAATATTTATTTATCTGCTTAATTTGCATAAAACCCTCCAGTGTTTCAGGTGTACTAATTTATTAAGACATTGTTGATAAAATTATTTGAAAGTCATAATATCAATCTATGCTCACATTAATGCTAATGGTTTCTTATAAACATAGTCAAAACATTTTTTAAGCTGTTTCACATAGACTTTAAACATTGCTAACAGTTACTGCCATTCAAGTCGATCACTGACACCACTCCTCAAACTTAACCCAAAAACTTTGCTTTCTGGAGCCCTCCACTATCAGATGGGTGAACAAATGAGGGGCAGACTGGAGAAAATAGGATTCATAACAACACACCAGATGAAATACCAGGGAGTGCTCAGAGCAACATGCTGCTTGTCAACAAAGTTTGTGGGAAATGTCTCAGTTTCGACAACCACTTTCAGTAATCACCACGGGGCATGAGATGAGCACTTCCTCTCTGCCATTTATGTTAATAAAGACAAATTACACCCGCACTGGACTTGTTTGAGTTTATAAAAACTTTCAGCTCAGTTCTAAACGCTCTTACCTTTGAAGAAGCAGTCTTTGCTGTGCACCACGTAGATCCGCCTCCTCTCCAGGCAGGCGGTCCGGTAAACCTCGCAGTGGTTCTCGTAGAAGCGGCCGTCCGAGCCGCAGACCGGCACGAAGGAGGGGTGGCATTTCTCCTGACAGACACACTCCGCCCGCCCGGTCTCTGCCATCAGCACGCACTGTCTGCCCCGACCACAGTAGGTCCTCCGACACGGGCCTCCGTCCGGATCGGAACGAGCTGGATGGAGAGAGAAGAAAAGTTGTCTTTAATTGAATTAGGGGAGTCCACGCGAAAAGCTCACGTTTGCTCAAATAAAGGTGAAAAGCCATTTAAAAACGCATTTACACATGACATTAAAGTTGCTCTAGGGAATGAGTTATACCAACGCTACCCTAATTCCTTAGATGTAAAAACGGGATTCAAATGAAGCTGGGCCTCATCTAATGTCCAGGAGTGAAGACAATTTAAACCTTTAAAGCCCGATCCAAGAAAAATAGGAAGAATATTGAATTTATTTTAGTCTGAAGTCTTTCTTTGGCCCCTCAACAAAATATGAAGAAAAAAAAACTGAAATTATTTTGATCAAATTAGCGTGCAATAAGTCAAAAATATATTTTGGTGTAGTCCTCTACTGGCTGTTATCAGGTATATCGGAATGTGTACAACAGGGGTTTGAGCCAAGCTTTTACCACTGAATGATGCAAAAAGTCTGAGAACCAAAAGACTTCAGAAACCGTATGTATCAAATATGATACATTTGGCATTATAGGGGTTAAACAAACAGCGGACAACCTCTGTCACATGCAGGCCAGGAGAAGAAAAGCACTGGCCATTACAATATACATTCTCAGCATGAAACTTTTCAGGTTGAAAGATTGGTCAAAACCTCATATCAACTGAGAGGAAATAACCGTTCTGTTTCACATGGCATTGTTCTGGATTTAATATTGTGTCAAAGTCAAAGTTTGATACCTCATGTTTAGACCACTGTGATTAAAAATGACAAAATAGCTGAGAATAAAGTTGTTTTCCACCCGGTCAATTTCATTGCAGATTTGAGTGTGATAGAGGTTTTACACGCATAGTCAAAGCTTGTAAAACTGATGGTTTGTTAGCTACTGCGTTTTTTTTTTTTTTTTCAACCTCTCTGGCCAACACAACACAGATTCCCTAACTGCAGATATTCAACTTTTTCAAACTGCTCAATTCAAATTCTGGACACGAGAAAAACAATAAATATTTTCAGCAGAATCCTCCTGATAATCGATCATCACTTAATAGAAATTCTGTGATTTACTTGCACAATTCCAGATTTTGTCATCAGGGGGAAATATGTGGTGTTTTACAAAAAATATACTTAATTATCCGTCCATCCATTCTTTTTCTAAACCGCTTATTCCCAACGAGGGGGCTGGAGCCTATCCCAGCTGAATTCAGGCGACCCCGGACAGGTTCCCACCATGCTTAATCATTCTAAAAATAATTATTTGAAATAAAGCCCTGCCTCTTTAAAGGTTTAGTAACCTCAGCTGTTTCAGTTAAAGCAGACCTCTGCATTTACCTGGGGAACAGAGTACACATTATATCATCATTAATAGGAAAGGAAGCACAAAGGATAGGCGCAATCAACAAAAGTACAAATGCCTTTGGAATTTTTTAAATAATACACACACAAATGAAAATAATGAAAAGATTGCTATGGGTAAACGTATGAAACGTAGAAGGTGACACTAAGACGTTTTTATCACTTTGAGTGGTACCCTATGTTGATTTTTTCAGCATAATCTTTGAAATATCTCAATAAATGGCAAAGAAAAACATATTTTACAAAAAGTTAATACAGTATATTCCAAAATAGGTAACTAACACAGGAATTATAGCTATCGTGACTGAATCAAAAGAGTTGTTATTACAGTAAAATCAGGAGACCTATGATTCATACTATATGTGCCCTAAAATTTGAAAAATGAGTTGAAGCCTATCCCCCCGAGGCTTGTTGCTGTTTTAAGACCTTGCTAACGAGGGGAAACTTTTTGAAACACAAGTCAAAGAGCAAGGTGTCCTTATTAACACCCTCTCTGCAGTCATTTTCACATACATGTTCACATGCACACAAACACAGAATATGTGAACTGTAAAGAAAGAAGCGGAGTTTACACTTTTCCCTTTTTTTCTTCATTGTTAATACACGGAGACACACACAACTTACATACGCACAAGAGCAAAAGAATGAAAGAGAAGTCAGCAGCCTTATCATGACCAAAGTGTATGCCCACCTTTGCTCTACATGCAGACATACGTGCACAAATAACTGCCCACCAATCCAATCTGTTTGTACATAAAGTCAGTCAGAAAGCTGCTGATTCAGCTATATACTCCACCTTGAATTGATCTTTCCTGACTCCGTGAGTCTGATCAGCTCGCTTGTGTGAGATCTGAGGCCCATCCATGCCTCAGGGTTTTAGAGGCCAAAATCAGATTTAAAAAATGTACAATTAAAGAATCTGCTGCAAATTTTGCAAACTTTAAATATCTGTGGTAAGAAATCAGGGACAGTATGTGCTAATATGTAAGTGAAAAGATACATCAATTTGTGTTGTACTGTAGTTTTAAAATAACTCCTGACCTATCTTTGTAATCCAGTCTTTCCCATGTTACAACACTAGCTTAAATGGTCCTTACTGCCATTTGTTATTGGTTGCTCAGATCAGAGTTAAGGATAAATTAAATATATCAATTGATGAAAAACAATATTACTTATGTCTTCAAAATTCTGTCTTAAACTTGTAGAAAATCAGTCAATTAGTCAAGTTAATTTCTAAAGAGTAATTCAGTTCTTCTCAAATAGAAATAGAAATGCAATATTTTTCCTCAACAAATGCAAATGTAGACACAAATACTGTTTATCGTGCATATCTCTATACTACAAGACAAAATCCATAATGCTAATGTCCTAACTGGTAAGAACTGTCTATATAAACAGTCATAAAAAGGCCTTTGGCTGAGTATTAATCCTAAAATATCCATAAAGATCAAATAATGCACTGAAGTTTTGGGCGTAATGCCAACACATAACTCCTATTGACTCTGGCTCTGTTTCTTCTGTTAAAAATGTAAGTATCCCTGTCTGTCCTTTTTATTTACCTTTGATGTTAACAAGCGCTATTATTTGCCATAGAAAACATAAAGGAGATGACTGCCGTCTGCATCCAACTGTGAGAACCAAATTGCACAGCACGAAAATTCCTCTATCAAGACGGGACAAAAAACAGCATTTGAACTTATAAAAAAAGAAAATCAAATCACGAATTTAAGAGTTTAAAAAAGGAAAAGAATAAAACACGAGTGAAAACATTTAATACTGGTGCTCATCAGATTGTATTGCAGTTTAGAGACGTTTTTGAAGGATGAGTGACTATTATAAGGAAATAAACACACGTCCCAGAGGGGCTTTGTGGCCATTGTGTTCATCCCGCTTTGAGGTTGAGTCCGTTAAGATGCTGAGACGGGGTGAGCACTATTATCCTTTTTGTGGGATAAGGCAAAAAAAAAAACCACACCGGCTTAAGAAAAAAAAAGAAATACACTCAGTCCGTGCTCTCATAATCAAACTGCTGAAAACATAAATTGAATTTGCCCAGAGTATAATCATATCTTAACTCTCAGCATATTCAACAACAGAAGTAATGTGCCACTGCTGGAGGACAAAAGTCCCGTAATTGCATCAAGGCGGTTTAAGGGCCACTGCGCAGGGACCCCGGCGCAACACACATTAGTTCTGCGATACCCTCCGACTCCTTTTAGGGTGTCAGCATGCAGGCGACCATGGCTAATACACACCATCAGGCATTCTGCCAAAAAAGCAAACACACACAGAGTTGGGGGGGCGAAATCATCATTAAATCCAAATTTCCAAAGACTTCTGATGGCATTTAACTCCTTCCTCATAAAGGAAATACATCTTTCATGTTTTTCACACGGTCCTTGAACCATTTCACATAAATACCGGGTGGAGGAGTAATTAAAGACGATAATCGATAACCGCAGACCAACACAGCCTGCAGGTATGTTGAGTTTGAGCCCAACGCTGCAGCTCTGACTACTTTATCATAATTAAATATCAAGAATTAAAAAAAAAGGCTGTGGCTTGGGGGCGTGCCAGGTAACTACCCCAATGGGAACACAAGCGAGATGAGGAGGATCAGGATGCCGGGACTAAGACAGACTCCGTTTCTTTTTATGCAGTTTACTTTTTTTTCTTTTCTTTTTTTTCTTTTTCTCCCTTTTTTTCCCTTTTTTTCCTTTTTTTCCCTTTTGTCCCTTTTTTTTCTTCTTTTTTTCTTCTTTTTTTCTTCTTTTTATTAATATTTTTTCTCCTTTTTTTCTTTTTTTTTTTTTTTTCCTTTATGCCGTTTACTAATTGCCGCGCGTGTCTCCGCAAAAAAGCATCTGTGGGAAATGCAAAACAGCCCGGCTCCCTCGCCACCGCGCCGTTCGTGTCAAGGTCGGGGACGATTACAAGATCGTTTGTATTCTCCGAGCGTGAGAGATTAAACGCTTAGCAACAAGCGTCCGGCGGCTGTTACCCCCACCGGCGCCGGTGCTTACTTCCTCTTCCTTCTCTCGCTTTGTCCCCAGCTGCCTCTTACTTCACTCCGACAGATTCTTCTTGCCCTTTTCCATTTTTTTTGCTCAGAGAAAAGAGTACACGTTCGAACAACAGCAACAATGGCGGGGGAAAAAAAAGTTACGGGTTACAATGCGTGACATTTAGCTAAGTCTCGGCGCTCGCGTTTATCTGGTCCTTTGTCTTCCAGTGTCTCGGACCGTATTTTCTGCACTTTAGGCCTGCTTAAAAGGCTAAAAGTGCCGTCTGATAATCCCTCCCTTTCTAAGCTGCTGGCACAGCTCTTTGAATAGCATTCGGCCGTGCCCAAACAACGTCGAACTGACCGTCCAGCGCGTAGCCTCGGGTCCTGCTACTTTAAATCGTTCTCCATTTCCCTCTCCTTTTCTTATATTTACCCCGCATCTTTCTGTACTGTCCTGATACGGTCCACATTTATCAATGTTTTCAGGCTTTGTAAGAAAAACTGCTGTGGGTCATTTTTCTTTTGTGTATATCTAAGTTTGACTTTTCGTAAGCTCTTACACAAGTCTAAGTGGAAAAGAACTAAGAAATATTGTCTGTCTTCTTTTGTTAGAAGGAGCTACTATCTTGTCCTGCTCAGCCTTCACGGACTCATCGCAGTTAAGCAACTGAAAATGTTATTTCAGAAAGAGACATAAAATGAACCTGCGGTGTCTGTTGTTATCTAAGCGTTACGTTTCATGGTCGCACAAGGACGCCACACACTCACACACAAGCAGAGATTCAGACCATGTCACATCACTCTGAAAATAAAGTGCTTAAGTTTGAACCGCTAACTATTTTTGAAACGTAAATATACCCACACAAATTCCCACCTAAAACAAAATTCTCGAGCTCCTTTGAAAATCAATTTAACAGTTTAAGGCATACACGGCGGGCTTTATCTGTTTTGTTTTAATCCGACCCTGCAGGGGCGGCGGATTGTCATTCTTGATATGTTTTCCGCAGAGAAACACGAGGACAACACTTACCTTCGTACTAATTAGACTGGAAGAAACATTTGCCCTGCTGATGTGGGACTCTCAGCCTGAAGCACCGCTCGGCTATTTTATCTCCCCCATAGATCCATAGAAAAACGAAGGAGATGCAGTCACGAGCCAGAATGTCAGAATGTGACATTTGTGGAAATAGCGTGGCTTTTCCAGAAGAGGGCTATAGTTATAATAGTTATATTGCATGTTGTGCAATTAGGCGGTGAGCGTTTAAAGGGCATGTGCGTCCTTTTTATGCATTTTTCCAGTTTGAGAACGCCTCAGTCATGTCTGCAGATCCTACAGATAATTCTATTTGCTCTGCAGCAGCTGTGGATGGTTAAATATTGAGAGGCACGGTCAAACACTGTTTTCCCCGGTGCTGCATAGTTGGACAAAGTAATTCTGACACAGGCACGCTGAGCTGAAATATCAATGGACACCAGAGTCCCTCAGTGCCAGGCAAGTTATACCGGGGGATATACACACACAGATAAGAAAATGCTGTCATTGAATTCCACATAATGTTGTTTTTCTGAGCAAACAAAGTAGGAGAAATAACCAGAAAAGATATGGACCAGCTTTAAAAGAAAAAAAACTATATATATATATACACACTGTATATATATATGTGTGTGTGTGTGTGTGTGTGTGTGAGTGAGTATCAGGATACTCACAAAAAACAGATACAGTTTGCTTGAAAACCTCACACACACTGAGATATGATGCAGTGTGACAGGGGGCAACAATTTGTCAATTTGCTGCTTACTGGAGAATTCCAAGATTTCTACAAGAACCTTTCCTTTTCTGATGCAAGGGGAAGGCATTGAATTCGGAAGAGATGGTTTGAATGAACTGTTCCTTGAAATCATAGTTTAAAATGTCTCAACAATGACAACTACCTCAGGAGGAAAAAATACATCATCAAGACTACTTGAGATAAGGATATACAAAAAAATACATATTTTATGAGAGGATAGGAGGTAGGAATTTGAGTGACTCCAGCAATGTCTTTCCTCATTTCATTTTTTTTGCATTAAAAATGATAACTGATAAAGATAGATTTAGGGTCATCCGCCAAGTGCCTTGATAGGTAAAAATCTATTTAGACGGTGATGACTACATTAATTATTAGTATCCTTTCAAAGAAAACATCCTGATGTTTAGCTCTATTATGTTTAGCATGCACCTGCAAATTTAAGAGGCCCCTGTAATTATCTTTTTCGGTAGTTTGATGTAACATTGCACTACCTTATCGTTTTAGACAGATGACAGATACAAGGCAGTGAAGCTTTCATGAAAAAGTCTATTTTTAGACAAAACATTTGCTTAATTTTCTCTGGCGCGGGCGAAGCTAATTAATTGATTTATTTTAATGAGTTTTATCTCATATAAGTCAAAGTATTCAATCAACAAAACAAGTTCCATTTCCAAATTACTACATGTCAAAATAATTGAAAAGCAGCTTTTTTTATCTGCAAGGTGAGTCTCTGAACTGATTATAGCACATAATAAGTTTCATGCTAAGAAAAACCCGAATAAGTACACGCATGTCATCATATTTAGTTTGGAACAGAGAGATATCAATTCAATTCCATTATTATTGTGTGAAGCAACTTGAAAAAATAATCAGATTTAGTTTTAACTTGCTACCGCAGATATGTATCTCCATCGAATGTGGCAAATTACCCAATACTTCAAAGGCCTCTCCTTCAGGGGCAGGTCAGCCATAACCCTTTTACTCCTTATGTATGATGCATTGCAAAGTCACATCATTAAATGAGCTTTTAATGAACTATTTGCAACATAGAAATAAAGGCTGAGAACGATGACATTTTTCCAAACTGGTGAACCAGCGCCACTAACAACTAACAACACAGGGCCTAGTATAAAAACTAGACCGATTGCTATAATATTACAGAACGCTTACAGTACAGAAACTTTTACTGATTATCGAAGGCACCTTGCTGATGAACAGACAACAGAAAGCAGTCATAGCTGATTAATTGCACTTGTCAAGTCACTTATTAAGACATGCTGACTATGCTCTCCTCTCTCTCTTGATGCTTGTTTTTGCTCCCTGCCTCTTCTTCAGATTATTGATTGAGAAAGATGCAAATGGAAGAGGTAATCAAATGAAAAGACAAGCTGAACCCTGCCGGTGTTGATGTGGTGTTACTACCTCTTGGGACTCACATAATGCAGTTACTTCTTCAGCAATGAGAGAAAAAGACGTAATTGACTCTGAATAGATGTCAAATCCTGATTTATTTAGTCTGCCATGAGGAGCTACCTCTCTCATATGTCAGTCATATCCGTGGATCTGTGGATTTTTTGGATTAAATTTGATTTGGACGCAAAAGACAAAGCTCTTCAGCCTTAAAAAACAAACAGTAGCACAATTATAATAGAATGATGAAGCGTTCTCGCAGACTTTAAAGGTGTCGAAAGAAGAGAAAGGTTGACTTTCCGTCCATAGAGGAGGCATATTGAGTCTTTGTCTCAGACAAAATGTCACAGGGCTCATCTGGCAAGTTCGGCTGATGGTTTCTGTCTTCATCCTCTGATCCCCGTGTATGTGCTGTCGCTCCCATGAGAGCCTCAGATCTCTTGAAAGAGCGACCTCAGAGAGCCAAGCAGCCACTGAAACCCCTACCCATACGTGGGGTTCCAACAAGATCTTTCACAGACCTGAGAGGAGGGGATTTGGTAAGGACTTGTGGGTAATTGTTTGTCCATGGCAGGCCTGATGAAAAATGATGGTCCACAGCATATTCTTTCTTTCTTTCTTTCAAAATCAGTTTGTTTGACTCGACTGCCTTCTATTGCTGCATTACCAGCAGTGTTTGTGTGCCAATGTGTTATATATCTTGAAACTATTCAGTGACGATCATTAGGCTCTCACTCCAGCTTGTCTCGTGAAACTTTGGGGTACCGGGACTGTTCTGATTAAGACCGTTTAACTGATTTGTCTTGACTGGATGCTGCAGATACTCTCAGCTAAACCCTCAAAACTGTGAAGTGACAGATATGCAGTGTCAACGACACAGGCAACCTTTTAAAGAGCTCAGAGAAGTCTGAAACAAAATGAAGAGACACTAGTGTATGATGTGCCCCTAGGAGCTAATGTGAGTGTGTGTGGTTGTATTTGTGGCCCTGCGATGGACTGCTGACCCCACCCCCAATCCCCCATCACCCCGTTGGGAATAAGCTGTTCAGAACATGGAT